AGCAATGCAGCATGTAAAAATCAAACAAGTATGCGTTCATATTCCTCTGGCTTTTGTCTGGCTCTTAGCTTGTGACTGCGTTTGAGTTTTTCTTTCAGCTAATTTACATCAACCTTAAACGTTCCCTGTGTATTTTTTCTATTTTTGTTTATATTTCTGTGTTTTGAACAAAATGCATTGATCTTTTGAAACTTATCCAAAGACCTATTGAGTTTAGTTCGGGAAGTTTGTGCCCTCCAATGTGTGCTTCATTGTCACATCAGTGTCAGAATGGGTGTTGGGATGACAGATCTGACGGCTGCCAACGATTATCAGGCGACGGCAGCTGTTAATCCACCAAATAAGATTGGAGGAATGAACACCTGTGATCGCCACCGAGCCATGCAGCATTTTATGAAACCACAAAAGATTCATGACTCAAATGTACAGCAATAAAATACATACAAATATAACTCATCAGCTACATATGCCTCTTCACTTAGTTGATTTAATACATCCCTGTTGAGCAAACACAGGTGTGAAGAATATAAAATATATTTTGGATGAGTTCCATGTAGATGCTTTAGTTTCCGCTTCCTTCTGTTCCTCATGCTAGTCTTGAAAAGTTCAAAACATTTTGTTACAGTTGTTAAAAACTAAATTGCATTTAAATCTAAATTATGTTTCATAAATGCATAAAATATATATTTTTTAATTCTTGATTTAGCAGTTAATAGCAAAAAATCTGACATATTTTGTAGAGTTTACTTATTTTTTTGTGTTTTATGCTTTACTTTATGTTGCTACAGGGTTAATAAGCGTGGATTAGTGAACATTTATGTATTGTTGGATCCTTACTCCTTGTCCAACTGTCTTACATGTTAAATCCATCTGTCCGTCTATCCGGCCAGCCAGCCAGCGTCCGTCTGTCTGTCCAGGCACCAAAATGCCTGTCCACGTATGTCTTCATGTATTAGTCAAAAAATGGCTTAGAACGCTGAAAAGTTCTGGATTGTCGTATGGAACCTTTTAAGTAGATTGTTGTTAAAGTGCAAATGTTCCTTGTTTTTTTAACTTACTAGTTTTATTTTGACTTCTTAAATAAATTTGATCTCAAGTTTGACGTTAGGACTTTATGGAATTCCCTTAAAAAGTCAGACTTGTAGCTGTACAATCAACAAAAAAAGATAAACTTTAAACGAGAACATCATCATGACTTGTTGTATTTCATAATAAGGTTATTCTTACTGTTTAATGTGCCACTGTCACAAAGACTGATCAAAAAAAGAATGAGAAACAAAGCAGCAGAAGCAGACGTCTTGGATTATGATGCTGTCATATTTGCTTTATTATACCATTTTAAACAGTTTTTTCTTTCATCACAGACACGTCAGTTGAAATAAGAGGCTGCACTGTGGGGCATTTGGTAGCACTGTTGCCTTGGTCCTGGGTTCAGAGCCCTGCCAAGATTCTTTCTGCATTGAGTTTGCATATTCTCCCCATCCATGCGTGGGTTCCCTCTGGGTACTCCGTCCCAAAACATGACTGTTTAGTTAACTGGTTGCTCTAGATTCTCCTTAGATATGAGTGTGTGGGTGTGTGGTTGGTTGTCTTGCCCTGTGAGGACTGGCGACCTGTCCAGGATCTACCCCACTTCTCACCTAATGGTTGTTGGAGATAGGCACCAGCCCCCACGACCCTGCAAGGACAAGTGGGTATAGACGATGGATGGATAGTTTGGTCTCGGAGAAGAAAGCTAAATGGTAAATGGACTGAATTTACATAACCAACCACTCAAAGCGCTTTACACTAAGCCACATTCATGGATTGTTACCCATTCACACCGTCTTACTGGTTGCATTAAGTGGTTATTCACACAGCAGCCACTGAAAATTTACACTGTAAATCGAGGTAGTGGGTAGTGTGCCACCAATGTTCTCTTCTGAGTAAAACACATTCTGAGAACAGAATATAGAGGTGGTTCTTCAGATATATACAGAAATGTTTCCGGCCAAAGTACCTGTCCGATATAAAAGTAAAGCAGTGTAAAAAAACAAAAATAATATAGCTGTTTAAGTGTAAACCATTTTCTTGATTTTTACTGGGGTTTTTTCCACTCTTAGTACGCATTTAATGCTGGAAGAAGATTAATGGCACACCTCGTCCTACCTCCATTTCCTCTGTAAACAGACATTAACTTCTGTGTAAAAATAACCCAAGAATGGAAACACTGAAAATGATTTAATGGTTCATAAAACAGCATTTGTGTAAACTGCTGTGATTCTTTTAAGATTGGAGTTGTTTTAAAATGGTAAAAGTCCTGTCAGACTAGCTGTTAAATTCGGCATCCAGGACCAACTAATCATGTAAAAGAAGACACCAAGAGAGTTATCTGCTGCAGGTAAGAGATTGTTTACAGCCCATTAACAGAACCTCATTTTGAAAATCATGATCTATCCCTTGTAGTTTATTTCCCTCAACATTTTTTTTGTTAATATTCCAAAACATTAAATCAAATGCAGAACGATATTACCCAGCTTCTGACTAAAAGAACTGCATAAAATAAAATGCAATATATATAATTTTGGTTTGGGGAGATTTCTGGATTTTGCTTCCCTTTCTGCCTTCCTGTGAGCTTTTGGTGGCATGAGGTTGATCTGATGGTGAGTAATATAAAAGCATTGCAGCCAAATTGGACACAGTCTAACAGCATTGGCGGATGTTAATGGAATACTTGTCTAAAATTTTCTCTCAAATCTTTTCTGTCAATCTTTTTGAGTTGTAACCCATGAATTACACCCTTTTTAGTTGTCAAAAAAAAGAAAGTCATCAAAACCAAATGTAACTTATTCACGGGTGTCCCCACCTCCAGTTGATCCTTTTCTTCACACTGTGCACACAGGCCTCTGGGCTGTTTGCAGGCTCAGAAGCAGGAATTAGCCAGCTGTGCACACACTTTCAACGCCACAAGTGAGGGCCTGGACATACATGTCAGACTGGAGGCTGCCGTCCTCCCCCTCATCTATCCCCCGCCGTCCCCAGACATGTTAATCCCTACAGTTGTGGCAGGCAGGCATGGAAGAGATAGATTGGAGGTCAGGGTGAGCAGGTGTGTGCATGCCGTCAAGCCCCTGCCAGAGAGCTGCAATCAGAGAGGGGTTGGAGAGAAAAGCAGCTGCTGTTTTTAGGGGGATGTGAGTGGGGTGAGAGTTTGAAAAAGATCGCCTATCCACTTCTGCCACCTATCTGTTATGTTTAGCTAACAGTGAATTCCTGCAACTTCTCTTTTCAACAAATACAAAGGATAATCTGATAAGGAGACACAACAAACTAAACAATGTGGCGATAATAAAGGCAATGTAAGGAAAAGGATCCCCGCTTTTCTAAATTTGTACATTTAAACACTGGAAAAGTGTGCCATGCATTGGTTTGTATTTAACTCCATCAATCTTCTCATCAATTCTGAGCAGATTTCCTGTCCTTGTCCCACCACTGTGGTTTACAGTGGCGACGTTGTGCAAAGTGTGATGTGCCTGTCGGTTTTCCATAACATATATTTTTTGATAATTTTGCATGTCTTCTCACTTGACCAGAAAACCTTATTCCACAGGTGCTGAGTGCAGCACATGGCTTGTAGCAAAGTGCAACTTAGTTGTTTTTTTGGCTTTTTTTCAACTATGGTTTTCTTCTTACCACTCTTCCACACAGGCCAGACTTTAAGGAATGCATGACCAATAGTTTTCTACTGGCAAAGTGGGACATCTGAATTAATTCCCACTGAATCAATCCTTTGACCATCTTTTGCTGCAGCTACAGCTGCAAATCCTTTGGGGGTGTGCTTCTAAGTTTTGCATGTCTGGAGATTATTCTCCATTGCAAATAGGTCAAGCTCAGACAGGATGGATGGACAGCATCAGGAAGCATCAATTTGGTCTAACAACAGATTCTCAACAGGTTTTAGATCTGGACTTTGACTGGACCATTCTAACCAATTGATGTGCTTTGATCTGAGCCATTCTATTGTAGCTCTGGCCCTATCTTTTGTAGGCAGAAAATAAAAATGTTGCTATCATTTATTCAGAGATGTCCACATTTTCCATCTTGAGTTACTTGCATGGTTTTTAGCTAATTGTAAATGGAACCTCTCATAGCTGCCTTTTATCAATAGCTTTTTCTTGCCAATCTTCCATAAAGGCCTGATTTATGGAGTACATAACTGACAGCTGTCCTGTCACCAGATTCTCCCACCGGAGCTGTGGGAAACTCTGCATCTCCTCCAGGCCTCCAGGCCGTTTTTCTGAGTAATGCCCTCTTTGCTGGTCAGCCATTTAAGTGGACAGTAAAGTTTGATAGGTTTGCTGTATCTGTTTTCAGATAATAGACAGAACAGTGTTGTGTGAAATGCTCTAAGCTTTGCCACATTGTTTTCTTTTAACATCTCTACAACTTTATTCCTGACCTGTTTGGCGAATTCCTTCATCTTCATGATTCTGTTTGTTCATTAATCTTCTCTAATAATCCTCTGAGGCTTTCAGAGGACTGCTTGATTTATAATGGCATTAAATTACACACAAGTGTAATCTGTTTGCTAATTAGAAAACTTCTGAAGGCGATTAGTTGCCCTGGATTTTATTTAGATGTATAGGAGTAAATGGGGTCTGAATACAAAAGGTGTTGATATTTGAATAACCAAACTGTTCTTGTAATAAAAAGCATCTAAGTGACTGAATGTACAGGTCAGTCATTTTCTAACCGCTTATTCCATAGTGGGGTCACAGGGGAGCTGGTGCCTATCTCCAGCAGTCTATGGGCGAGAGGCAGGATACACCCTGGACAGGTCGCCAGGCCATCGCAAGGGCAACACACAAAAACAACCAGGCACACACTTCTTCATACACCTAAGGGCAATTTAGAGTGACCAATAAATAACATGGCATGTCTTTGGACTGTGGAGGCAAGCCGGAGTACCCGGTGAGACCCCACACATGCACAGGGAGAAACATGCAAAACTCCATGCAGAAAGACCCCGGCCGGGAATCGAACCCAGGACTTTCCTGCTGCAAGGCAAAACGTGCTTACCAACTGCACCCCCATACAGCCTCGTGAGTGAATGTTTTAAAAAGAAAAAATCATTTTTTTCCATCTTTGAATGTGCTTTTCTTGCAGTTTTTTTCAGTTTCATAAAAGGAGGTTCTTGTCATTGCGCAAAATACTACACAATTAAAAACCTATTAGTTTCTAGAAAATTGATCCTTGCTGGACAGGAAATTTAATGGGAGGGAGGATTTGAAGGGAATGCAGGGAGGGACAGTCCACCAATCCAAATCTCAGCTTCCTCCCTCAGATATCCTCCCACAAAGTTACTAGTGACCTTTGCCTCAGCTCCCCAGCTTCTTCCAGCTGCTCCCTGAATAAAGCCCTCTGATCTTGGGAGCTTATCACCAAAGTCTGCCTGGCTCTTTGCTTTACTTGTTCCATGTGTAATTACACTGCATTGAAACGGAGTGCAGTGCAGGTGAAGGCTCGAAGAATGAATGAGTCTGTCTCCTCCAGTGAGAGTGGGACTACTCGCCTATAAAGGGAGGGGTGGCTTCAACAACGCGGTGGCTCCCAGCGTGAGCGAACAAATCAAATGAGACCCCTCGCGCCGCTGTCAGCCTGCTCTCACTCCACCTCAGAGCTGCATCAAAAAGGGACCCGAGAACAGCAAGAGTGGCTCACACTGGCATAATTCAGTGGCTCGGACCAGATGGATTCTTTGTTCTGCTGCACGGGCTAAAATGTGGCTGTATTCAAGGAACACACAAAAACAGCACATACATGAGTGCATGCACACTTTACCCAGCCCAAAAAGCAGTTTAAAACCAGAATCATGATGACAGGCGGGGGTGTGATTCTCTTTGCCTCTGTTCTGTTTTGCATTAGTCATATGCAAATGGGCATTGTGCACAAGAAAGACACAAATCCACCATGTCTTAAATCCGAAAAGAGGAACTGGTGACGGCTATTTAGTTAACATGATTTATGAAGGATTTTGACCCAGTTTTAGTGCACGGCCATTTAATTGTTCACTTTCAGGTGATTGAAGAAATTGAATTGAGTCAAAGCTTAAAATATTAAATCAAAATAAATGTCCTTACATTCAGGCCCCCTACTGGAGCTGTTTGCTTTTTTATAGACATAACCATATCAACAGAAGAAAATCAAATGCCCCTTTCTATTTGTGGTGTGTATGTATTGCTAAAATGTAGTGAATTTTAATGAGCAAAGTGTCTATTTCAATCCAAACTTCAGGTTCTGTTATTAAAAAAAAAACACTAGTTTAAAGCATTATTAGAAAATACAAAGCGGTGTTGCACATTCTGCACATTCCTGACATGCAGAGCTCACAGAATAAAGAAACGTTGATGTAAATGAGTAGAAAAACAACAAAGGCATCTGCTTCCATACAATGCACCGCAGATATGCATTTACAGGGACATTCATCTGCTAAGATGTCTCTAATTTCAAATAAGGGGGACAGAATAAAAAGGAAAAAACCAGAAAAACATCTGAATAAAGGTTTAAGATTGGTTGCATGTCCTAAAATATGAATAAAACACAACAAATGCACAATTCTGGTCCCAGGGATGGTTTTATGCTTATTTTCTCCAATGAATTTTGACACCATGTTTCATTAAAATTTGTCATTAATCTCTCGATTAATATGTAATTTAATTTTGTTTGAATTTTAATCAAGTTAAGTGACCTAAATTTAAGTTCACTAGAATCATAAATCATAGAGGAGGTCCTAGAGAGCATCATGCTGCATGTTAGAAGGAAAAATCTCCAACGAAATAGTCATCCTCCTTCTCTAATTTTCCTAAAGGGAATGGAGAAGATCTCTCTCCTTGAAAGCCTATAGTTACCCGTCATGTTTCCATAATCATGTGAGGTGTTCAACGAGAGGAGTAGAGTGCAAGCCCTAACACCAGAGCCCATAAAAGTGGAATCTGGGTTCTGATTTACTTAAATTGAATGGAATAATCGGCATCCAGTTCCCCTACAAAAGGATGTTTTTCCTGCACCATGCGTGATAAAAAAAGATGTTGAAAAAGCCATGTATGATAGAAGATCTCTTCTAGGATGGCATTACACAATCCTATAGGGACTGGGAGGGAAGATGTTTAGATGAGTTACTGTGCTTGTGACTCATATTCTGTGACTTCTACAAATCCAGATCTCATTTTAAACTCAGCTGATATTAAAAATTGACTCAATTTTGAACGCTAAACTGAAACCCAACTCCACCAAAAAAACAAGCAGCGTTTGATGACCTCACTGAAAACATCTCATTGAAAATAAAATCAGGAAAACTGGAGCGTCATGAGCACTGGAGAGGAAGATTATGATAACTGATAGAAAATAAAACAAAAAAACCCCCCACCAAAAAAAACCCCTGAGGTGAACGGACGGTTTTAAAAGGGTACAAAATTAAATAAAATTACATAATGAAATAATATAAATGTTACAATAAATGTCCAACAAATAATCGAATCGTACCATTTATTTAATGCATTATTAAAATATCAAATATCCTTTAAATTAGGGCTGCCCGGTGGTTGCAGGTTGGAGCACTGTTGTCTTGCAGCAAGAAGGTCCCGGGTTCGATTCCGCCGGGGGTCTTTCTGCATGGAGTTTGGCATGTTCTCCACAGTGCATGTGTGGGTTCACCGGGTACTCGGCTCCTCCACGCCAGTCCAAAGACATCCCTGTTAGGTTAATTGGTCTCTCTAAATTGCCCTTAGGTGTGTGCATGGTTGTTTGTGTGTTTCCCTGCGATGGACTGGCGACCTGTCCAGGGTGTATCCTGCCTCCTGCCCATAGACTGCTGGAGATAGGCACCAGCTCCCCTGCGACCCACTATGGAATAAGCGGTAGAAAATGACTGACTGACCTTTATATTATGAAACTATTTATTTATTAAATAAATAAATATGAAGTGATTACGTAGTTTTAGGGGGTTGCCAGGTCGCCAGTAGGGGGTCACCAGTCTCTGGTACTGTTATTTTGGGGGTCACTGGCTGAAATGTTTGGGAATATCTGTGATGGAAGATACATGAGAAAAACTGAAAGATATGAAGTTATCTAAAGGCTGAAAATATAACACAAGAAAATAACCTAAACTCTTCAAAATAGAATGAAACCGAAGAAAACCAAGAAAAATGTGAAATACGACCATTAAAAACTAAAAAACAACAAAAAAATATCACTCTTCAACTTTTACGGAAGCGGTGTACTGTTTGCATGTTCTCTCTGTTCATGAGTGGGTTCTCTCCAGGTCCTCTTGTCCAGACTCTCGGTGTGAGTTCATGCATGATTGTCTGCCTTGTGTGTCGAGGTTTTGCTCTTTGATGAACTGATGACCTGTCCAGGGTGTATCCTGCTTTATACCCATTGACCCCAGCAGACCGGCACCAGCTCCCTCACGATGCCGCAGGATTAAGTAAGTATCAAAAACATAGATCTTGTTTCACCTCTAAATAACCATATCTTTACACCAGAAAAAAATAAAGTACACCCACAATGATGTCCAGGGTTAAATGCATTTTTTATGTATCTGTCTCCCTTCTGGAACTGTCACCCCCAGAACCCGATCATAGATACGCAGTCAATGGCTGGATGGGTGGATGTTTTATTTTTATTTTTTAATACCACCTATGTAAATTCATTGTTTTAAATATAGACCAAACTTGAAAAAAAAAAAAATAAATAAAATGTGTTTTCTGTAACAAATTTGCTTTCAAATATGCTCACTATAACCAAACCCCTTAACCTCAAATTTTTATACATTCGTTCAGTTTGTGTGGATATTTTTTTTACCTTTCATTGTTTGAAAAAAATATAACATTTACACAAAGCTATTAATAAAGAATTTAATATTTTAGCAGTGGTAAGGAAGCAAAGTTATAAAAGAAAGCAGGAAGTAATGGATGTACTGACCACGAATTGCACTCCGCTCAACATTTTGGCATTTTCAAATGCTCGGCTTGACATAAGGCCAATGTCTTCCCTGGCTAATTCAGGAAAGAGTGTTCAAACATTTCTGACAGGAAGAAGTCAGTGACCTTTAAGCTGGAAATGCTCTGCTGGTGTTGCATTCACGCTGTCGTTTTTCATCAGAAGTGGAGGTGCAGAGCCGAGACACATCCTTTAGCAGAGGTGAGCATGAAATGCCAGTCTGTCAGCTCCTGTCTGATCTTAGAAGCTCATCGTGCTGTGTGCAGCAAACTCGGCTGTAATCAGCTCTCTGATCAGTTCAGTTTAAGCCAACGTTCAGTGAAGCAAGTTTTTTGTTGAATTTTAGTGAAAGAACTGAATCTTTCAGTTGATTTTTTTTATGTGGTGCCCTTTTCAAAAATTCGTGCCACATCAGTGGATCAGTTAACCTGTGAATGAGATCAAATGAATTTAATCGATGACGGAACATATTTCCTTCAAGGAGGTTTCATGCAATATCCCTTTCATTACTAATTGATAAGTAGACTGACTGTCTGGAAACTGCCAGTAATAATATCAGGAATTTCTTTGCATTATTCATTCACGTCTGACCCCAGTCTGGCAATGAAAGGCAATATGAGAGCATCAATCAGTTTTACATTAGAATGTTTCATAAAGAAGTGCACGAGGTTAAATCTGATGAGTTTCTGTCGCCTGATGAGAAGCAATTAATAAACCAACCAGCTGAATAATTTCTATAATAATATACATGATTGATGTATCATCTAAGCTTTCATAGAGCCAGATTAGTATGAGCTAACATCTGCAGTATCGGTGAGAAGTTTTCTTGCAGTCATATTAATTTTGGGCTTAGAATGATGCATTTGAATCATTTTTATTTTCAGAGTGAAAAGATTATGCAACTAACAAATTAAAAACATTAAAAAAAACAGTTGGGTGTGCAAGTTGGAATTTACTTTGGGTTTTCTCTTATCTACACAAGGTGAAAATGATCGTAACAGGTTATGGTTCAAATACATACAGTACATACACCCCACCAATATTGTCTTGGCAATTTGCAGACCACAAGCTTTTTAAAGCTATCAACAAGCTTCACTCTT